CTCGTTGTGACGTAAGCAAGGACAAAAATCTGATTGGTCATGCGCATGAGCATACCCTTGTCTTTTTATCATGGACCAGGCCTGTAGCCGAGTTGCACGACTCGACTAATTTTGGATTCGACCGATTTTGCCTATAGTCATCACCACTCCTCTTATTTCATGGCATTTAGATCGTGCGCGGGACATAAGACGCTCGAATTCAGGGATGATATTAGTCGTAATTCATACAGGGTACTATATAGGACTTTGAAACATATTGCTCAAGGCTGCGTTCGGTAATATCACTCGGGTGCCCCTATGTATCACCTTATTCTTATTTAACATTGGGTGAACAACAAGGATAAAACGATACACAGAGGCACTTGGGTGATGTTTCTGAACGCAGCCTAACATTCATTGTTTACAAATTTTCATTATTATTATTAGTATTATGGTGTTGGAAACTCAAAAGTAACACTTCAAAATAGAACACCCAATATCATCCCTGAATTCGAGCGTCTTATGTCTCCGTGCACGATCTAAATGCCATGAAACAAGAGGAGTGGTGATGACGATAGGCAAAATCGGTCGAATTATGCAAGTCGGCTGCAGGCCGAGATAGACGGAGCATTCGTACGAGAGAAGCTGAGACGTGATAGAAAGAGAAAGAAACAGTCGCGGAGTAGGTATCTTCTTTTCTAATAGTGAATTGATTGGTCGCCGCGGCAGGCCGGGAAGTGGCCGAGAGCAATAAAAATAGACGTTCGAGAGTTGTGGCCTTACGCTCAAGGTAATTGGTTCCCCACCGCTCACTGTGAAAGAGGGAAACAACTATGTCTAAGTCCGGATCTACAATAGAGTTTTAAGTCTTAAGCCATAAGAAATGGGCGAATCACAGTCGTTTATTCTTCTCGGATTCGACTGTAAGTCCGGATCTACAATAGGTGTTTTAAGCCTTAAGCCATAAGAAATTGACCAATTACAGTCGAATCCGAGAAGAATAAGCGATTGTGATTCGCCCATTTCTTATGGCTTAAGGCTTAAAACGCTATTGTAGATTCGGGGTTAAGACCTTCTAATCAGAGTCGCGACACGAGAACAGCCAATTTTGATTGGTTCGTCATTTTTCAGCAATTTCCACCAATATTCGAATGTCAATATTGGCTGCGTTCGGGAACGTCGCTCGGATTCATCATCTGTCCTTATTTAACATTTAATGTTAAACAAGAACGGATGATAAATCGAAGGCATCCGAGCGACGTTTCAGGCGTCGTCTACAATACATGGAGTAAGAAGTAAGAGTAAGAAATTGACCAATCACAGTCGAATGTGAGAAAAATAATCGACTGTGATTGGTCAATTTCTTACTCTTACTTCTTACTCTGTGTATTGTAGACGGGCCTTGACGGCATCCTCACTCCATGACTTCTGCTACACGGCACGCTTAATCGGGTTTAATAACATCCGTAGTTATGAAATTGGCCAATTATAGCTTTTCGTCGGGAGAATGGAATGATTGTGATTGGCCAGTTTCATAACTACGGATGTTATTAAACTCGATTAAGGGTGCCATATAAAAGTAG